TCTTTTGTTTTGTTCCCCTCCCTGTTTTTATACTCTTTTTGCTTCCCTTTCCTTATGTTCATCTGTTTAGTATCTTAAATTCCTCATATGAGTGAAGTCATATGATATTTGCCTTTCTCTGACTAATTTTGCTTAGCCTAATAGGAGGGCTTGGATTTTTAAAGAAAAAAACACTATTGCCATCATATCTGTAGTTTTCTCATGTTGCTCTGGTAGAAGAGCAGCAGGACCCTGGGGCTCCTGAAGCTGTGCCCCTCTTCTATCTGCATCCAAGGGTGTCCCTGGTTGGTTCCCTAACACTCAGAGCATCTCTAAACATAGACTGAAGTGGCTGACTGGCTGACTGCTAAAACTCCTTCCAGCTCCAGGACAGTGTCTCTGATGTTACTCACATTCCATTCAAAGCCCCCAGTGGCGATGCCTGCTGCAGCTCCTGTCCCTGCCAGCCCCACAAAGTGGCCACTTCCAATGTTACTGGCAAAGAGAGATGCTCCAACCTGGAAACACAAAGAGAAAATCTGGTAAGAACTCTATGGTCCAGGACACTCAGAGGTAGACCAAAGAGAGAAGAGACATGTCACCCAAGAGAAGGACAAGAAATAGAAGAGGCAGGCTGGGAACTTGACTGTGTGTTCGTTGGGACCACAGGTTCACAAGATGGATGTGGGGTCTTGGGTAATAGTGAAGGAGAGGATGGAAGAAAAGGCAATGTGTATCCCCAAATCAGATCAAATCTGATACAAACCTGTGGGGTTTTTTGTCAGCCCAACGCCAAAGAGTGAAGAAAATACGGGCAACCCCACAGTTCACTGAGCCTCCCTTATAAGTCTTCCAAAAGGCTGTCAGCTGAAAAGCAGGGCCTGTGCCATTCATCCCTGTGTCCTCCAACAGTTGACCAATACCTTGACCAAGGACCTTGACCAATACTGGCTCTCAGTAAATGCAGACAGTTTTAATAAAAGAAATCATTTAAAGGAAGCCTCTGGGCATCAGCCCTCTCACTTACCAGAGAAGTCAGGGGGTAGAGCCTATACTTCCCAATGATTCTTAACTATTAAATTCTATGATCCCATGTGCTCCCAAGAAACATGAGATGCTACTAATAATAACTCCCTAAATCAATATAGTATTTTTATTTTTTATTTTTTACAAAGGTCTCATAGACCCCATGGACACATACACAAAACACATGTATTTTTCAAGGACATACATATGTCTAAATACATAGGTAGAAGACAGATTGGAAGGATATATATTAAAAACCCAAGATTGGAAGCCTGGAAGGAAAAAGGAGAATGAGATTGTGAATGGGAGATGGAAGAAAAAACATCAGATAAAACAAGAGAAGGATCTTGCACTAACTAATCATAATACTGTGCCATCAACTCAATTGCATCTAACCTCCAACAGAACCCCAGGAAGTTTTAGACTCCTTCTGTACCCAGGAGGAGAGGCAGAGCACCATTTGATAATTATCAAACTAGTATAATTATCCCCATTATTGCTTAGCAACGGGGGAAAGCTGGTAGTTATTTATCTATTATCCCTAAGATGGTCCAGATCTGGAACAAAACAAAGAACAGTATTTCACAAAAGACAAATTACTCCAAGAAACTGTCCTAGCTACATCAGTCCCTACCTCCAATATAAGGTAATGGTTGCTTAGTACCAAATAGTTAAGTCAGAGAGGAGGGCGTTCCCTGAAGGCCAGGTCAGAAAGTCTCTGGAATGATGCAATAATGATATAAAAGTACACTCATTCATTCACTCAGTGAATATTAATTTAGCATCAACTCAATGTAACATGCACTATTCTAGACCCTGGGGACTCCAATGTGAATAGCACAGACAAAATCCCTACTCTCCAGAATCTTATATTCTAACCAACATAAATAAACATAAATAAAATTTTTTAAAAGAGAGATCAGAGAATGGTCAGTGCTGTAAAGAGAACAGAGAGGGTGTGATAGAGTGACTAGTTCCAATTGGAGAGTCAAGAAAGGTCCCTCTGTGTAGATGCCCTCTACGTTAAGATTGAAGTGATAAAAGAAGTCCAATGTGTCAAATCAGAAGAAAAGTAGTTGTAGTTAAAAAGCAAAAAGAAGGGCAGACTGGCTGGAGTGTTGTGGGCAAGGAGGAGGGTGGTATGAGATGAGGCTGGGAAGCTGGGCAGGGATATATCAGGAAGGTCCTAGCAGGCAAGGAGGATAGGAGGTTTGAATTTTATTCTAAGTGTGGGAAAACACTGGTGGGAGTGGGGGGCAGTTAATCAGTGGAGAGAAAGGACTTAATTTGCTTTTTAAAGATTGTTCTCAAGTACATGGAGAAGATAGTGTTGGGGGCAAGGGAGAAAACATAAAAATGTAGAGGAGGCTATTGCTGTATCTACATAAGAAGACAGTGGCTCGGTCTCTGGTGGTAGCAGTCAAGACAAGGGCAAGTGTAGAGATTGGAGTGTGTTTTAGAAGCAAGTTGACAGGAGTCCTGAATCTAAGAGTTACCCTTGAAGGATCAGGTGTGGGAAATGAGAGAAAGAGTAATCAAGGGTAACTCCTAGACTCAGGACTTGAGTAGGTGGATGCCATTTATTAAAAAGGGGAAAATGGATCCAAAGATGGGTGGATAAAGAAGATGCAGTAATATATATACAATGGCATATATTACTTAGCCATACAAAAGAATGAAATCTTGCCATTTGCAACAACAATAGACCTAGAGGGTATGATGCTAAGTGAAGTAGGTCAATCAGAGAAAGACAAATACCATATAATATCACTCATCTGTGGAATTTAAGTAACAAAACAAAACAAAGAAAAAGAGATAAAAAAAAAAACTCTTAAATGCAGAGAATAAACTGGTGATCACCAGAGGGGAGGTTGCAGGGGGGTGTGAAATAGATAAAAGGGATTAAGAGTACACTTATCCTGATGAGCACTGAGAATTGTACATAATTGTTGAATCATATTGTACACCTAAAATTAATATAACATTGTATGTTAATTATACTTAAATTTTAAAAAAAGGAAGGGGAAATTTGGAGGAAAGCAGGCTGTTCAGAGATATTCACCTCTTTCTCCTCAAAGTTGGATGGAGATAACAGTCCACTTTTAATCAGAATTACCTTTGTCATGTAGCCTGCCTTCCATGATCCATTATCTTTTCATTTATCATCTCTCACTTGATAAATTATTAAGCCTAATGTTGTACTATTAAGAGCATAATTACCAGTAATGATTAACTGCATTAGATTAACCATAAGTTCAAGAAGTCCTCTCCAACATCCCTCCAAAGGGAATCATTGAACTTTAAGAAGTTGCTGGCTTTCCTGAGGTACCCCCTTACTGTCTGATGGAATAGGGGTCAGGAGAGCTTTGCCTTGCACAGATTTACTTAATTTCTGTCATAGTCACTACTCTTCTCCAAGTCATTTGCCTTGGCCTCATTCTGGACTCCCTCCCTTCACCCCATGGCCTTCACTCAATCATTTACCAAAACCCTGACTCTGCCTCCACAAAGTCAAAGGCATCTAGCACTTCTTATACTGCCCTTGTACAGGCTGTGATTATCTCTCAACAGTCTTCTAGATAATTTCCAGTCTCCCCCTACACACATGGCCAGTTCCCCAAAGCACAACTCTGATCAAGCCACTTCCCTATTCAGAGAACCTCCTCAACATCCAAATGGGCCTGCCAAGTAGTCTTCCTGGAAGTTCCAGGTTTAAAGACATAGTCCTAAGAATTCAGAAAGATTTCAGGTTAGAGTCCCCTCCAGTGAGAAGGAAGTATGAAAATAAAAATTAGAGTTTGAATACTTTCTTAACCTCTTACTATCTGGGTGATCATAACATCTGTGAGCCTCAATCTTCTCTCATGACAGGTTGTTCAGAAGTCAAATGAGATTATGAATCAGTAATGATTGACATTTTACTGACCCTCAAACAGAGTCCTTTCTCTCCTCCAAGAGGATAATCATTTCATCCTCAAAGACAACTCACAAGAGCTACAATGGACACAGTTGGAGTCTGAATTGTGTTCCCCCAAAATTCATGTGTGGTAGCCCTAACTTCCTAATGTGACCTTATTTGGAGATAGGGTATTTAGGGAGGTAATTAAGGTTAAATTAGGTCATAAGGGTGGGGCCCTAATCTATTTGATAGGACTGGTCCTTATAAGAAAAAGAAAAAGACATCATCTCTCTCATTCTCTCTCATTCTCTCTCTCTCACTCTCATTTTTTACTCAGAAAAGAGACCATGTGAATGCACAGACAAAAGGCAGCCATCTACAATCCAGAAAGAGAGGTCTCGCCAGAAACCAACCCTGACAGCACCTTGATCTTGAGCTTCCAGCCTCCAGAACTGTGAAAAAATAAATCTCTCTTGTTTGAGGCTCCCAGTCTATGGTATTGTGTTATGGAAGCCCAAGCAAGCTAATACAGACACCATTGCTTCATCACCTCCATTCCCCTGCCAGGTTTTCATTCTGCCCTTCCTCTCACTGAAGCTCATTAACAACGCTTTCATCATTCTAATTTCCCAAACACTCCCTCTGTCTACCCCTCACCCACATTCATGCCCATTTGGGAATCATGCCCCATCCAGGGAGTGATCCAGTGACATGAATCATGTCCTTCTCTGTAATCTCCTCCCACATTGCCTCTGAGTTCAGGGTTTTAGACTTCATCTAAAATTTCCCCAGCTTGACCTTGCTTTTGACTAACTTCTTTCCAAGCCTTCCTCATCCCCTGATGGGGCTCAGGAAGCTATTATAAGTATTTAGATGGCTTTACTGTAACTGTGCAAGATGAGCTGGGTCAGACAACACTCAACAGGTTTGATAGCATGGTAATCAGGGAAATAACATAATGTGACATCACAAATGGAAAAAAAAACCACTACATTTTCCTTTGAATTTGGAGGAATTCATAATCACACTTTACTACCTAAACACCTTACCCTAGAAAGTTGGCAGGATGGGAAATACTTGGAGAAATTATAGAATCACAGAGTCTTAAAGAGTTATATGGACCCACAAATGTCACAGTTTGAATCCCTTCTGCAATACCCCCCCCCCAAGTGATGGTTGGTTTCTGGATGCCATGCTTCTAGTGACAGAGAATTTGCCCAATTTACAAGGCAGCTGAATCCATAGAGGAACAATTCTAATGGTTAAAAAGTCCTTCTTTACCTTGAGCTGAAATCTACCCATTTGTCTACTTCTGCCTTCTGGAGTGATACAGAACAAGTCAAATCTCTCTCCCACAAGCTAGCTCTTCCAAGGTCTAAGGAAAGGGATTGTGCCCACCCTCAAATCTTCTCCAGGCTAAGCTTCCTCTTCTCATGTGTCTGCTCCTCACTGGCCATGGAATTGAATCTCACCATCTGTGTTACTATCTGCTGCCCTCAGTTTTAACAGTGTCCACAGATGGGCCTCAGGCCCAAATGAACCACTTTAGACATGGGCCATCCAGAGTGAAACAGGCTGCCCTTCCTGACTTCC